AGGGCAGCTCCAACAACTCTTCAGCAAAAACCCACTATTTTCTTTATTATCATTGCAGGAAATAAAACAGAAAAAATCTTAAGCATTAAATGAAAAAAAGACCCTAATAAATCACAATAGACAATAAAACTACAAAGGGGTAACACTGGGGTTAGCAAGCAAGCACACCTGCTGCTGATGCAGAAGTAATAAAAGAGACAGTTAGCTCTATGGGACGGTGAGCATATGGGTATGTAGCTCGCCACACTGCAATCTACTGTATAAAGGTGCCCATACACCTTACGATTATCGTACGCGATCGACTTTTCGTACGACAATCGTAACGTGTGAATAGAGTGCCCGACCGATAGTACTGTACAATCGTACGACTTTTGACGGTCAAGCATGTTTGAAAACTTTGGTTGATCGTACGATGTTCGCATGGTTGGTGGCGTTTCCGTCCGTCGAAGGTCGTACGATTAACACTGCGCATGCGCAAACGAAAATAATTGCGGTCAATTACCGCAAGTCGTCCAGGTGTTTTTTTCTAACTACCGCTGATTGAACCTTGCGATAATCGGGGCAGGATGGGGCCGTCGTACGAAAATCGTACGACGGTTCGATCATCGGACGAAAAGTTTAGTCCGATAATCGTAAGGTGTATGGGCACCTTAACACAGTGTAGCACAGTATAGCACAGTATAGCCTTGCAAAGTTGCTTTCCCCACACAGATTTCTTAGCTTTCTATAACCAGCCCCAACACATACTGACAGTATGGCTTTTGTGAGCCCACCCTTTTATAGTGAGGGGGTTTATGCAACACACTGAACTGCGAAACTGTGAGGTCTACCTTGAATAAAAAGGGGATTCTAAACCTGAACCCCTGCCTGTGACTGGAGAGATGAGAAGCAGCACAGTGATGAGTTCATCTGTCGCACTGCTTTATTTTCCTATAAGCATGCCTCTTTTCAAAACATGAATTGATTGTCTCCTGGCAATGCTTCCTTCTCTCACACTCCATTCCTGCTGTACAGGTATTGATATTGATCAGAAGATTGATACCTTCTGATCAATATCAATACTGATTGATACTTGATAAATTCAAGTACTTACACTGCTTGCATTTACAAAAACAATTCAATGATGTATTAATGTTTATGGAGCTGCATTAATGTGTGTCTTTTATATCTGCCCGGAGATCAGTTTTAAGTATAGTGTTGAATGATCAGTTAAGCACAATTTCATCTAATATAAACAAAAATTGACATAAGTGAATATACATTTTCAATACAAGCATGGGAAATTACCATTTTACAGAGGATGCCATTTGAATGTTTCTGAAAAGCTGGACTACAAGGATGAAACATGTTTAATTTTATTATCTGCAACATCTGAAACCTGTTTTTCAGTTTTGATCCATAAGCTTTCCTTATTCCTGTTCCTCTAGTTGAAAAATGTAATTGTGGGACATTAGATGAGCTTAGTAACATACAATAACAACCTCAAAGACATTTATAAATTCAGTTATCTAGAAAACCAAAAATGTGTAACAGGCATTCCCAATGATGCAATCTTATTTTTTTTAACCATGAACATAAAGTTAATCTAGCGGCTGACGGCTTTTTACAGTATTTTAGGTGATTTCGTTTCTGTAGTACAGAAATATAACTTCGAGTCAAGTCATAACAGGCTATGTCAAGATAGTATAGCATTCCTATACATTTATAAATGGATTTCTGGTCTGAACACCAAGCTGATGTACAAATAATTAACTCAAACGAACACTACTTTCAGCAGAATATTTGCCGTATGCTTGCCTTTTCATCTCCCTTTTTTATGTAGTATGTCAGACATTCCATAGGAAAAATGTGGGATTCTATAAAATGTTAGGGCATGTTTCCCTTTTTTGTGTGTCTGAAAATGTTTACATATGGTTTGTCATTTCATGATAGAATGCTATTTCTTATAGGTCTGTTTTCTTTACAATGTAGAAATATTGACAAGAAAATAAAATATTACATATAAGTAAAAAAAAAAGTAAAAAGTCCTAAAAAATATGTATATAAATACGACTGGGATGCGCACTCACCAGACCCACGGTGTTTGTAGGCAAAAGAGATGAGAAGCCGATAAGTAGTCCCAGCAGCTGTCTCATCAGCGTCACATGGATCAGTATTTAGCAAAAAGAAAAAACTCTGCATAGTGTAGTCGACACAAACATTTATTTGAAAAAAGTAGTCACTTACAGTTAAAAACGAATAAATCGTCCGCTCACAGGCAGCGTGTGGATATCCTTTACTTCCTGGTTGTTCGTGGTATTGAGAAGTGTAGCCCCGCGCTGACGCGTTTCGTCATCAAAAGACGTCCTCAGGGGGATCGCAGGTCTAACTTTCAATACCACAACATGATGTATTTATATTCAACCTCTAGGTCAATATGCAAAATGCAAATATGTCTCTAGGTCGCGTTTTTGCATATTGACCTAGAGGTTGAATATAAATACATCATGTTGTGGTATTGAAAGTTAGACCTGCGATCCCCCTGAGGACGTCTTTTGATGATGAAACATCGGGGCGGGTCTACACTTCTCAATACCACGAACAACCAGGAAGTACAGGATATCCACACGCTGCCTGTGAGCGGACGATTTATTCGTTTTTAGTGCTTTTCCCCATAGTTCTCCTAAGGGTCACAGGAGGATATATACTAGCGTCCTCCCGTGACCCAAAGCTCAGTAGATTGCGAGCTACGGCTCGCGGTATACAGAGACCGCCGCAGCCTGGACAGATCCTGACATTACTGTCGAGGTCCACTCTGCTGCGTGATTGACAGCGGGCTCTGCCTATCTAGAGGCAGAGCCAGCTGTACCCACCCCATCCGTTCCACCAGTCAGCGCTGGAAGATCGGAGCAGGGAGGGAAGAATCCCTGCAGGGAACCGGGAGTGACAGTCACAGCTCTCTACAGGGAGATGATCGAGAAGTGAGCAAGCGGTATGTGTTCGCTCACTTCCCAATCTATTGAGCACATTGTCACACGTCGGCTCGAACTATGAGGTTGAGTGAAAATCACTCACCTCATAGTTCTCCTTTAATGGCATATACAACCTGATGGCCTTTAGACCAGGGGTTCTTACTTTTTTTAATCCGGGGACCCAAATAACAAATGTTACGAATAGAATAAAATAAAATTATTACTAAAATGTCAGCAAAGCCAAACACAGACAAATAACAGCCTCAAAGACATGCTGGTAGGTTAATTGCTTCTTGTCTAAAATTGACCCTAGTATGATTATCTATGGTGTGCACCCAAGGAGGCTGCCCCACCATCTGCCCCAACAGCAGAAGTGCTTTGGATGCCACGGGAGAAAAATGCTTATGAGTTAAAAAAATTAAAAACAACCTCGTAGATTCACTATTTGAGAATACCATTACTGATGCTATTAACATTAGTGATGTGTCTATGTAGTGGAGATAATGAAATAGTATCCATTTCTCCTATAATAAAATGTCTATTATTTCCCTTAAGGAAAAAAATAAAAGAATGTGTGCAATACATCATCCAAAATCTGTTTAGAAATGTGAGGTGCCTAAAGGCACAGAACCAGCAAGACATGACAGGACAAAAGAGCTTCCATTCTTGTTATGTCAAACCATTACAGCCTTAACTCTTCTGTTATAAGAGCTTAGAGATACATGGTCATCTTATCCACTGAGCTATATTACAGACAGCAGAATTACACAGCATTTTCTAAACCTTTCCGGGTTCTCCAAACTGCATGCTAAATGCAGTCACGCTATGGACACAATCAAACTACTAAAGAAAGAAATTCTGTTTTTGCCTGGAGAAATCATGATGCAACCAGGAAGCCCAGGTCCCTTGTGCGGCTAGAAGAAGACAAGATAAAAGCTCTCATGTATACCAAGGCTGTAGTAATCACCATCATTCTGTACATCTGCAGTCAGCATATAAAAAGATGAGTTTGTGACTGACACCTCCTACATACACAAATGCCATTTATGGGACACAAATGTGTTTCCAATATGTTGGTAAAGTGTATCTTCAACCAAATTTCTTTTTTTGTGGTTTTGCATATAGTGAAAAAGTGTTAGAACCTCTCTCAGGTATATAGGTGTCTGTGCTTTTGTTAGGAAGATCCATCCTTAAATTTAGAGGGAAACAAAGGGAAATATCCAGTGGCGTAACAGATGGAAAATAAAAAGCTAATGAACATCCTTGTCTCCACCACCTACTAATAACAAGTGTCTTCATTTCATTGTGACATTGTTCCATTTCCATGTCTGCTTGTGTTCTGTAGCTATTGATATTAGGCCTAAGGTAGTTGGGGAACGTGTTTATTATAATTTTTAGCCTTATTCAACCAATGTCCTGTAATACGCTTTGGTTTCAGAGCAATTATTACAATCTTAGTGGCTGCAGAATACCTCCAGTGGACATAGTAATTTGTTTATTTTTAAACTGAACTCTAAGGAACCTTTTATTATTACGTCATTGTCTTTAGTTGTAAATTCCTGCTATGAAATAAATAAAATTCAAACTGTTGCTGGACCTCCCGCTGGTTAACCGAGTGCTGCTGAATATTTACATTAGGCTTTTTATACAGATTACAAGAGCCACCTGTCAAAATGAGCAAAAAGGCAGCCCTACATGGCGCATCCTTCACTCTTTTACTCAAATTGTATACTCCTTAACCCAAGGCCAGCTGTAGAAAAACTGGAGTGGAATCCACTTCTTTTTAAGATTAGTGGATAGGCTGTCTACAAATGTCCCATGCCTGTATATACATTAAGGAGGAGTAAACATTCCACTAAAACACAGCTTGGGAGGCTGAAGTCTATATATCCTTATGTCATATGTTACCAAACACTTGTCAGGGGTGATTACAGTTGAGGATATCACTGTCAGAATGAAGAGAAACAGTTATTAATGTAGCTGGTAATCTATTTATTCAAGGTTTGTGGGAGCCATAAATGATCTCATATTTATGTTTCCTTTTCACAGGGAGGGAAGAAGAACTATCAGGGGCCATGTGCAGGACGAGATTGCAGCGGGGGCTGCAAATGCTTTCCAGAAAAAGGAGCCCGGGTAAGCCACTTTTTTTTTCCCCTTTCCATGTTGGATGGAAACATTTGTATCTTACTCTTATCTCTTCCCATGTTTCATAAAGTACATCTGGAGAAACATGAGTACAGTAACATCATGCATCTGTGCAAGATGGAGAGCAGCTGCAGGTCCGCGCGGCCTGCTGACCTAACACAAGGCCTGCAAGACATTGGCTTATGTCAGCCTCTTTGTAGCTGTCATGCTGGCAAACACATGTTTAAGTCCAGCTGCTCTTTCAAAAACTAAGAACGGTTTATCTTCACTGTTTGATCAGGTTGTTAGCGGGGGATATAATACTGATATAATGAGCCTTCCTGGCTGCAGGCAAGTTCATATAAGCTGCCACAGAGTCCCTAATATACTGCCAGGTAGAATTAAGCTGACGTATTAAAGGATGTGGAGAACTGGGAAATTCTAAGAATAACACTTTTTCAAATCTACTCTATAGGCAGTCGAGAATGATGTAGTTTATGAAAATGTATAAAAGTTGCCAGTTATTCACCAGAAAACCTCAGTTAAACTTAGTGTGACAGAATCTATATAGATGCACACCTTTCAGCTCTCTCACCAAAGTAATAGATTTGGTGCTCGAAGTGCAAATACTCAGCAGTGTAGAGATAGGTGACCAGCACTCAATTAGGTAGAGTGCAAATAGTAGTTACTGTATTCAAGAATATTGTCACAAAGGTTAGAATGCCAATGTTTCTAGGCCCCGCAGGGTCCCTTCATCAGGGCGACACAGTGACAACTGGTTATCGTGCCACCCTGATGAAGGAACCTTGCATGGCCTTAAAACATATGCATTCTAACCTATGTGATGATATACTTCAATAAAGCTACTACTATTTGCACTTTAGTGCTGGTGACCCATCTCTAAACTGCTTATTGTGACAGATTCACCCATTGTGTGGATTAATTCAGTGTTTTCTCTTTCTGAGTTATAGGTCTGCATATATGCTTACAATCATTATATTACATATCAGGGGTGTGGAAATTGAAAAAAAATTACTTGCCCAATGACTAAAGCGGGGGCCCGATCTACTTGTCCCTCATGACAATCAACTTGTCCTGATGCAAAAAAATTATTTTAACCAAAACCGTATTTAGCAGTGCTAAGAAGCACTTCTCATTGGTCAGCGTCGTCAGGTGAAATTCAGAATACATGGCACAGGTACAGATAGTACGCCCATACTGGCGGACGGGAAGGACCATACGCTGAAAGATAAGTAAAGCGGGAAGGAGAGGGGATCAGATTTGTGCGGGTAATTCCATGTTCCCAAATTACTTGGGAATGTGAATTTACCCTTTAGGGCTGGTGCAGATTTAGGCGATCATGTGTGGTTGCATACAGCGGTTGCCGCGCGGCACCCATTGATTTCAATTGGGTTACATCCACGTGGCAATCGCGGAAAAAAAGGTACATGTACCTTTTTTCGCGACACGCACCGTGCAATGTTCAACCGCGATTATGCGCGTTTGCACGGGTGGTATTGTGGCGGAAAACCGCTCAATCTGCCTGATGCGACTGGGGTGCCATTAGAAAATAATGGCACTGCCAGCACGATCAGCGGCGGTGTGCGATTCTGTGACCGCCCAGCCATCCGCACGGTTTCGAGCAGATGGTGAGGGCAGTGGGGTTGGTTTTAATTGTTTTAATTGTTATTTACTTTATTTTTTTTACTTTGTAAACATTTTTATTTTCATTTATTTATTTATTTACTTTATCACCTTTTTATGTTTTACGTTTTTATTTATTTCCATTTTTAATTACTTGTTATTATATTTTACATTATTAACTTTTAATTTTTTTTTAAACTTTTTTTCCCACTCAACTTTATTGCTATCACACAGGGGATAAAAATCCCCTGTGTGATAGTTTTTGGAGGTGACAGGTTCTCTTTATTGACCCTGTCACCTCCAATACAGGAGTTCTAGCACAGTACTGTGCTCGTTCTCCTGTGACAGGAAGGCTGCGAGCATTCCTGTGTCACTGCTCACACGGAGCAGGGCAGAGAATGGACGTTCTCTGCTCTGCTTCCTGCTCTCTAACCTGATCTAATTTGCCGTGGTCCAGGGTCCCCCAGAAGAGCGGCGGACCCCGAAGACCACGGCAGAAAGGGAGCCAGCGGGTGGGGAGAGAGGCAGCCGGGAGCAATAACAGTGACTGGGGACACAGGCGAAGGGCAGAGAGGCAGTGGAGAAAGAGAGGGGAGGTGAGGGGAAGGGGAGTTAGAACAGGCTAGTTACAAGTGATCTTGGACGGCTGTAGAGCCGCTGAAGATCACCTGTACAAAACGGCTCCCACACTACATTTAGTCCTGCTGCTTGCCCGAAGCATGGCTAAATGAACAAAAAAACTACTCGCCTGGCGCCCGGAGCTGACTGTCCGAGGCGTCGGGCGATAGGAATTCCACATCCCTACATCCCTAGGCAATAAAAGCCTTCCAAGCCATAGCACATTGATGTGCTGAACATATGGATCAATCATTCATTGGAACATATAACGAAAAATTACATGTCACTTTACACAAGTCACATTCCTTTCATCGTATTAACTGTAGTGATGTTTCAATAGTATAAAGCATCACATGTGACCTACCCTATGCTAGATCACCTGATAAGTTGTGAAGGATTGAAAGTATAAGCTATGTGTGCTATGAGTCGCAGTACAGTGGGAAGTTTTACACTGAAACTAGAAATTGATTTTAAACTATTTAACATGAATAGATATTTTTCTCATACAAATTTTTTTTTTTCTGGAGCTGAGATTCATTTTATGTGTAAAACCCCTAGTTGGCATGCCAGCAAAAGGGAAAATCGCTGTTTAGTAAAGAGATATCTGGAACATCTGCTCTGTGTCCAATTCCTATAAATTTGTTGACAGATCAAGTTTATAAAAGTAGCATGGCATCAAGTTAATGGATATCATTTTAATTTTTTTATGATGGACAAACAATGGTTGCGGGTAGCTTGAGTTCAGATAAGAGCTCCTGCAGCTGCTGCCCATAGCCTCACATATGTGCCTCTTTTCCATTCAGGCCTTGGCATGACTGTTTCAGAAGGCTTTAGGAGTGTTGACATTGACCTAAAAGCTGTTGGCATCCCCTTTGTTGGGATGTTACAAAGATTGGTCTGTTTTTACAATCCATCTGAGAACCAGAGTACATCTGCATCGTGCAAGGCGCACAAACTGGTAACCATAATATTTCTCCCGTGTTTGCATGGTGTCTTATTTATTCCTGTTCTTTCTTTAAACCTAAAACAATGTTTCAGTTAGACAATAAAACAAAACAACAACACTATCAATAATGTCCTAACTTTCTATATCAAGCAATGTATCAGGTTTGTTACTAAATTGCAAATCTAAAATTATGTGGTAGGAAAGTGGTGATTTGGTGAATGTGTTAAAATTTCACTTTGCAAAGAAAACCCAATCATGTGCAAGGAAATTAGTAATAAAAAAAACAGTATTTTTACTTGCACATTATTGGGTGATGGAAGTCAACAAAGCTTCACCACTTTCACGACACTAAGGGAAAAGGGGAACCCCTGCAAAGTGAAAATTCCCTTGCAAATTGAACAGCCTATTTCATTTTAGCAAATCAACCCCTTAAGCCTGTGACAAAGCCACGCGGAGCAAAGCAAAGCTGCGAGGCGCGGACGTTCGCAGCAGTGTGTGAGAGCTTGATTAGCTGAGCACTGTCAGATGAAAGACTGCATCTTCAGGCAATCGGCTCTCACGTAACAACTCAATGGACTTCGCTTTCGTGGGTTTATACGTGCTAGCCAATTGACTGAGAATGACATGTTTCATCTCGGTGCGCTCAGCTATGCGAGCTTTCGCAAGCTCGCGTGCCGGAGTGAAAAAATTACAAGACACACTGCACGGTCCACATGTTTTGCGTGTAGTGTGTCATGAGCTTAAGGCCTTTCTTTACAATAATCTTGATGCCCTAGTCTGTCCACAGATCAAAACTGAAGAAACCAAAACTAAAAGTTTCCTGCAGTTTTACAGTTCCAGTAACATCTGTACAATTGTAGATATTGTGCATCCAACAAAGATTCACTCCTTTAACACCCCCTTTAATCTGATTAATGGTAAATGGCTCTTTACCAGTCTGAGCTTAGAGATTTACAATTCCATAGACAAAAATGAAAGGAATTTGTTTCATGTTGCAAAAGTCCTTATTTAGAGGGAAAAAAGAAAAAGCCCTAACTACTAATTATCCCCATTGCCATTATAATTGTGGGAGAGGGAAATTATTGGTCTGTTTTATGATTAAGGTAGCACATGCAGTCTAAGTGCAGCAATGCATACACACACACACACACACACACACACACACACACACACATAATTTTGACTATGCTTATTACATGTAATACAGATACCATTGGGGACAGTTTAGAAATAAATGGACAGTAAACAGAATAGATAACATGCTATCACTAGAATGTCATTTCAATCAAAACATATGCTCTAAATGCTTCAAAACATTTTGTCAGTGATGCTGTTTCCTCCAAGTGCACTGGACCATAATGATACAACCACTGCCATTTAGAAGTAACCCATGGTAGCAATATGTCATTAGCTAAGCTCAGATTAAGTATGTGTTAAGTGACACAAATGCCTGCTTCCACCCACCACTAAAATGTCATGGTTGATGTGTTACTGAGCACACTATGGTGGAATCTGTTCTAGCTGCCTACAAACATTACAAAGTGACTGTCATTACAATCTTTTAAGACAAGCTTACATAGGACCTATGTTTGCACCTATGGTGGAGAGAGGAAGGAGTGCTGTGGATGCCTGCCTGTTTCTCGTACTCGATACCGTAAAACCAGTATCGGTGCATCCCTATTGACTGGCCACAGTAAGTAGCTTGGCTCAACAGATCCCAGAGGTCTTCACATCTAATTTAAGGTGGCCTACATAGTAGATGGCCAAATTTTGTCAAAGGCTGATTTTGGGACACATAAGA